CTTGAAAAAATCCTGCGTACGCCCCTGATTGTAACCATATGAATAAATATTTAGTACTTGATTGTATACTTGATTTGTTATACATTGTCTTCATTTGATTATTTGTTTCTTTTGGCCTTTAATAAATTGACTGCAATGACTTTTTACCATTTGTCATATATTTTCTTAACATCAGGAGATATATGGAAAACAGTAACATATAGATCTTGTGTTCAGTAGAAATATATTTGAAGAAATGACTAAATACAATAAATAACTGTCAAAATCATGTTGGAAAGTTCGTAATTCGTTAAGATTGCATCGTGACTTAAAACAAAAAAAAAATGAAAAAAGAAAGAATAATATGAAATGTTCTCGAGTTATAACGTGGATACACAGAAAATATTTTTCTTAACAGTATTCATTTTAAGTCTGTCCGAAACCTACACGGTTGATATCTGGAGCAGATTTCGAACTTCTTGGAAAACAGGGGGTCGTTTCTCGAAGCAGTACGAAGTAGAAGCAGTACATGTCTAAGCACTTGGACATACCAAAGAATCATATTTTATTAAAAAAAATAACACGCATTTCTAGGGGGGGGGGGGAGGGGGGGTCCTCGAATTTAGACCTGTGCCGATTTCGAGAAACTGGTCCCTGCTTCATAGAGGACAATGATTTTAAAATGAAGCAAGTTTATTGAGCCTTGTGAAAAATCACTACACCCCCGACGACGCTTTTATACACAACGAACACTATTCGGTTTTACAATCTCAGTGATGGTGACAGACTGATTCAAGGAGCAGAGCAAATCATTCATCAAACGCTTTTAAGAATTTTACTCTCCTTCCCTTTAAGTGTTTCCACAGAATCCTCGTCAGACCCACTTTATGTGATTTAAGCACAACGTACATGGTGTATGGTTTACGAACGCTTGTTTGTAAGTGATAAAATACCTTCCTTTTCCCTAACGCTACTAATTAAAAACTATGCAATGCAAATTATTAATGTTACGTAACAATATACTGAATATGTGATTCACTTGAACTTATTTCGTATTATTTATTTCATGACAAACCTTCAAAGATAGTTATATCATTGCATGATCAATCATTTATCGAAATGAATATCAAAATAGCAGAGAAGTGGTAATTTCAAAAGCTTTAGGTCACACGATCCTATCATGGTCGGCGCCGATAACCGTCAAATACAATAGGCCATTTTGGTATTGAAGCAAAATTTAATGCATATGTCTTCGTGAAGTGCCTGAATACTGATATTTCAATCACCTGTGATGATATTGAATTTCAATAGTCAAAAAGCAAAATGCGTACATGACGTGTTGTTAGGTAGGGAATGGTAATGTTAGTCATACCTGGCAACAATAATGCAGTTCGCGACAACGCGTTCTGACTCGTAAAAATTATAACAAATGAATAAAACGATTCGTTTCGAGGCACTTCTCCTAAGACGTATGCATTAGCTGTGGTTAAATACCGAAAATGGTCTATTTCTACAAGGTATCTTAAAACCCCTGTAATTTGAACTATACATAGATCCAAATGGCATTTGTTTCAATTATTGCTTCCTGCAAAAGCCCCAACTAGTGGTTGTAGACTCCCAAATCAACAACTACAGTATTAGGCAACAATTCTAAGCTTATATTATTATAACATTACAGGGTCTATTTGCCAACTATGTATCATAGCATACGTAATAAGCCAGTTTCGCAATGTAACATAATTCATACTCAAGCGCCTCAATACGAATGATTTCATTCACATAATTATACGTATAATTGTATTTCAATAGTCAGAATGCAAACTGCATATATTACGACTTGTTAGGTAGAGCAAGCCATAATGTTTGTCCTACCTAGCAATAACTAATGCATGCAATTTTAATTCTGACTATTTTAGTCAAAATGGCCATTAGTTGACAACTAGCTCAGTCGGGTTTCATGAATATGGGCTCATTTGACTGATTTTATGCATTCATTTTGAACAAAGTTTCTCTTGTCAACTACAAACCCTGTCAGGGGATTACAAAACATAGCATACCTAACGTATGCAATGTGAATTCCATCCAAAGAGATGCAATTGGTCATATAGCGTTCGGATGAAAAGGATAAAATGGCAGGTAACCAGGGGTTACTGAGCGAAACATGCATAAATTGAAATACATCAGTAAACAGATCCATTCTCGACACATTACGCTTTCACTGTATTCTGAAAGAGGGGGATGCACTTAAGAAAACAAATTGGTCATGATTGTGTTTTATGTCATCTAATCGCAGAGCTTAGGAGTAGCAGAAGCCCTACAATTTGGTGTTACAATTACGTCAGCGTACATCAGTTCGATTGAAAGCTTTTCTATTTTTGACTTTTAATTATTCTCTTATGATAATGTTCCAATGTTGTAATTAAAGTACTCTCATTTCAGGAAAATGTCCATGAAGGCTTTTTATGAAATTGCAAGTAAAGACTAAATTTATTTTAAAATGCATTCGATATAATTTGACCATTTGGTTTTTAATTGTAAAATGTGCATTAAATATATATACGTGTGTTTGTTAAGGAGACGATATTCGATTTTCCTATAAGATAATGCCAAATAATCATGGAAATGCGATTTATCCCCCTGCACTGCATGTCATGTGAATTAATCATATATGATTTTCGATTTATTATTTTCCAATACGTCAGTCACAAATCATGAAATTTTAACTTGGTCACATAAAACCGTAGAAGACAAAGGTGGTCGTCATAAGCAAAGCTGGATCCGACGTAAATTAAGAATAATCCATTAATAACAGAAAGAAGAATCAACCATTTTATTCACAATGCCAAGAAAATGTTGAGAATGTTGTCATCGAGGAGAACAAATCACAACGTCATGTATACCGCAGCGGCCCACATTGCTGTAGTGTTAGCTATGTTTTCCGTAACGAGATCTTTCAGCGTGTATCGTTGTAGGGGGGTAAGCCTGTACCATGATTGCTTTACGTGACTTTCGGTCGGAATACCTAGATATAATGAGGAGGCTAGATGGGTATGTTTCTCAATCTCATGTCAAATGAATATCTGTCCTAACGAAGATTGTGTCGCCGTTTGCCGGTAACGGAAATTGCGAAAGCAGAAGCATGCCTTCTATTCATAGAGGCTTCCCCTCATTGTGACAATAACATGCAAATACGTAACATGTTTATGTGTCGGTTCTTCGTTATGCCTGTTTAGTTTATATTCATCTCAATTTCGTCCATACCGTGAGAAGAAGAGGTATATTCTATCAATTAACCAAGTGAAATAGCGACGGTGAATCTGCTGCTACTACTATAGTACTACTTCTGCTTCTGCTGTTTCTACTACTATTACTTCTACTACTACTACTACTACTATACTTCTACTACTACTAACTAATACTTTTACTACATGTACAACTACTACTGCTGCCGCTGCTACTACTACTCCTGATACAGTACTGCTACTATCATCAATACTACTACTACTAATACTACTGTTGCTATACTACTACTACTACTTCTATTACTACTATTACTACTACTGCCACAACCACCTCTACTACTACTACTACTACCACTAGGACTACTACTAAAACTAACAATTATTCAGTATTGTAACGAATACAAAAATAAATAGTTGGGAAAAGAGAACTTTCTCCTTGTAGCCAAATTTTAACGCTATCAAGTAATGAATGAAAGGTGTTTAGCCGACAAGTTTTTTTTTCTCTCAAGAGAGTCGCATGGGTATACAGTCTACCGACAACTGTGTAAAACCATGGTAAAACAGTCCAACATTTTGCAAATTTGCCGAAAGCGCCGCTTTAGAACTTTATAAGATTGATTAGTGTCCATTTTATGTGACAAAATACCTAAAGATGATAGTAAATTAAATGGTCGAACACTCGAACTCGCCATAACTCGATATTTATCGGAGTTTTATGCCAAACTTACGTACATAAATAACTAACAACCGTCCGTTCAATCTGAGTTATCATCAACAGACCTGTCTTCTAATTTCATGCATATTCTTTTAACAGAAGTCTTTCTTTACAACTACAAAGCTTGAAGATAGCCCGACATAGCAACACCTAATGTATGCCGATTGGATTCCATGCATAGGGATGGCATTATTACAAGCAGGTGAATAAAGATTATCAAAGAGAAACACGCATAAATTTAAATACATTAGTAAACTGGTCTACCAATGGCCTGGT